AGAATTAGAGCAGGTTTGAAGTGAATCCAGAGGTTGTAGAATTACCTTACTATCTTTACAAAGCTATTAACTTCAGGGGGGATAGAGAGAGTGCAGGAATAAGGACAAGAATATATCCCAGTAACAATAACAGGCACTTGTCTTCCCTTGAAGGTACAGAGCCATGAGTGAGGTAAAATGACTGGAGAAAAGAACATAAAGAGAAACCCCTCCTAACAACAAAAAATAATAAAAGAAGAAGTCTGAGGTAGGGCAGGAGCTGGAATAAAAAGGGAGATGAGGGACAATATGGTGGAGCAAGAGACTGAGTTGGAGAGAGAGGACAGAAAAAAGAAAGAAATTTTAGGGTGGAATGAGGAAAAAAAGAAAAAGGAGAGAGAGAAAAAAAAATTTGAAGGGCCTCTTTCAGGCTGTCTCTGATCTCATATTATACCACATGCACAACCATATGCAGAACCAAATCCCCTGGTCTCAGCTAGCCAATGGCAGTTCCCCACGACTGAGACTGAACACAATCTACAAGGCCTCATTTGAGTTTCCTTACCCTCAGGGTTGAACTCCATTCAGTTCTATTACAGGTTTCCCCTGCCCTTTCTTTAAAGATGTTCAAAGTTGGGAGCTCAGAAAACTACCCTTCATGAGAACCTATGCCTCTGCAGAGTTGGTCTAAGGACTGGCCCAATCAGGAGGTTTGAGAGCGGGGGGGGGTCGTGGGGGTGTTTCAAGGGCACCCACGTGGCTACCTTCCTTACTGGGTCTGTTGTCGCGCAGTCCGGGAGGTCGCGCACCCACTGCCGGGTGATCTCAGGCAACCCTAGAGATTCTTTACAGGTTATCCCATGGATATTTCTATCTTCGAGGTGAACCAACAATTATCTGCTTTAGTGAAGATGCATGCTTCATCATTTTTCATAATTATCTAATTTTGTAATAGGCAAGACTATCCATTGACTATACAGTACAACATAAATTATTCCTTATATATCCAATGATTTGATTAGATGCATGCTTCTATTTACTATGAGTTAATACTGGGTAGTACATTTTTACCATCTTTTCACAAACCTTGTGCAGTTATAAGAATGCAAATCTAAGAAAGTAATAAAAATTTTAGATTCACAGCAGCATAAATAAAATTCTTAGATTTACAAGAATAAAGGATGTAAATACCTATATATGTTCTTCTATCTTGGAAGTTATTAGAGGATTTTATGATGTTGATTTTCCACTGCAAATGTATCTAATACAGTGAGAGGAAGAGAAGATGCCTTCTAAAACATTTTGGTTATTTCAGATTCATATGCATGGGAATAATTACAAAGAAAACTTACTTCAGCATTTTCCTGATATTCTTCCATTGGAATATGGTGGTGAAGAGTTCTCCATGGAGGACGTCTGTCAGGAATGGACAAATTTTATAATGAAGTCTGAAGACTATCTCAGCAGCATATCTGAGACCATTCAGTGAGAAGTTATTTCTTCAAATGGTTTCCTAATTAAAAGTACATACATGAGATCTTATGTGAATGAAAGAGGGCAAATCTTTTAAATTAATTATTGCTTGTCTGATCCTTAAATATGTAAAAACCTGTAATATGAGCAATATGGATGCTTAGAAAGCCTTTAAACCTTTTTTCCACTTTTGAAGTACTTAAATATCAATATACTTGAATAGCATTTCCTATTTTTGCAGTTGAAGAAATAACAGAAAGTGATTTCTGAAGTGGTTATTCACACGCATCTTTGTGTGTTTCTACAAAATTTCATTTTAAACACATTTTCTGGTTACATTTGTTCACAGATTTATAAAATCTACTTAAATACTGCACAAATCAATTCAGTATAAAAAACTATTAACACTCTTTTTGTGTGGATGTCAGATTAGATTACAATTCAGGCTAAAGTCTGAACACAACTTTACAGTTATTTCTTGGGCCAGCAGGATAGTTCAACTCAGGGAAATTCTATTCGAGCACATTTGCACAATAGAAACTTTTGACTGGAGAATCTGTGTGCCAAACTACTGTATATAGGGTCTATAGATCTCTATAAAGGTACGGTTGATAATAACTGATTAAAATATAATTTAGAAAATATTTCAGAAATAGTTCATGGCTTCTCAATGCTGTTTTGCATTTTAATAAATAAGGTAATTTTGACTTGTTTATGGTAATTCTTATGATCACATTACATGGAGATTTAGAGAGGTGATATTTAGTTTTCTTATACATAGAAATTTTTGTTGAATAACAACTGTATGAAAGAAATGTTTACATTTCTTAAATCATCATCAATTACACTTGGTAATTTTCAGTTTACATATAAAATAATCTGAGTTTTACTCTTACATCAGAATATTCAGAGTCCCACAATTCTTATTTACTTTTTAAAAAAGTGGTTAGGATGTGCTGTTTGTAGTGTAGTTTATAGAAAAGAATATTTAATTTGCCAAGGAAGATATAATATCACCCCTTAAAGTCAATATATCTTTTAATTTATAATTTTTATACTTAGTATTTTCTAATTGATTTCATTTTAAACTTGAAAGAATATGGAGTATTAAATTTGTTGAATCTGTTCAGCGTGTCAGATTTCAACATTAATCATAAAATAGTGTTCATGTGCAAAGATACTTTTCTGTGTGCAAGGGTGTTTTTCTTTATAAGAAAATTAGTCTAATCAGGTGAGCTGATATTTATAATTCTTTGAACTTATGTCTATGATACAACTGAGAGTAACTGTGGACGTTCTTTAGCGAATGTGTTTGATTTTGATGTAGCATTGAGAAGCTAACTTGACATTATATCTTTTATAACAAAATTAGATCTTGCCTATTTCTTTAAAAGAATTTTAATGCTTTCTTTATAAAATCATATAATTGAAAATCATACAATTAAAAATTGTATAATTAAAATCATAATAGAAAAATCACTTAAGGGGCCAGGGATTTAGCTTAGTGGTTCTGCCACCTGCCTTGCAAGCACAAGGACCCAAGTTCCACCTCTGGTACCAAAAAAAAGAAAAAAGAAAAATCACTTAAAAGGATAAGCAGTAACAATAACAGAACACCTCTGCTTTGTCCAACATTTATCCCTAGGATATTTCTATCACATGTTCTACTTCATTTACATTTGACTACTTAAAACATGTGCTATGATTCTTTAAAGGAAAGATAGTACATGAATAAATAATAACATTTTAAGACCTTTTAAATGTGTTTAGTGATGTGTTCAAGAGTAAATGAAGCCAAAATAAGTTGATCAGTGCAGGCACATTTTATGATGTACTTTTGGAGTTTTATAAATCAAAGCAATTTTCTGAAGAACATTATAAACATCATGTGAAATGAACAAATAATTTTGTGAAATGTCAGGTAAAAAACCTGTCTAATTGTCTACATTATATTACTATGATTGTACTAGAAGTGCCTTTTGAAAGGATAACTCCATATGTGCTCATTATGTTACCAAACTGAATAACTTATTTACTATTGTTTAAAAAATTAAACATCTTTCACTTAAACAACATGAAGTTTTTTGTTTAAAAATATGAATGAGTCTTTCTTTCATAAAAACTGCTTTTTCTTTCAGAAAAGACTATTACCTCTAGTTGTCCATTACATAAATGTCAGTGTGGGGTGTGTGTGTACACAAGCGCATGCTGCAGATCAAACCCACGGTCTCACACATGCCAGGAAACTGTTCTACCAATTGAGCTACTTTCCCAGTTTTAATGGAAGGCTGATATTTTTTTTTTTTTGCTACTTAGTTAAAAATTATCTTCCCTTAATGCCTTTTGCTGGAACCACATATTACTAAAGAACCACAAACTAATGTCATAAAACTAAGAATATATACTTAAGAACTTAAAATTTTAAGAAAAAAAGCTTCAGTGTGCCACTTAATCAGATAATTGTAAGAGAATTTATTTTTAGAGCTGTTTTAGGTTAACAGCAAAGTTCAACATACAGTGCAATATAGTTTTGAAACAATCTGCCATGACCCTAGATGGAGATTTTATCAAACTAGATTTTTCTTACAGAAAGTACTAAAGTTCTATTCAAAATATTATCTTTGCCTAAATATTATCTAAAATAAGCCTGGGGATACAAAAAAATCAGGTCATACATGAAGGTGGCACAGACTTAGTCAACTGGTAACATATTGTCTGAAACAGTCCCTCCAGGCCCTATATGTTGAATTTTATCACACTAAGATGCCCTAGGAGGAGCTGTAACAAAGTTGGAACTACAAAGGAAGGCAATAAAATTGTGATTGGCGGCAGGAGATTCCCATTAATTTTCTGATTAGCAAGGATATACACCATCCTCCTCCTGCTCCCATACTTAGAAATTGACTGACCAGTCTCTAATCTATCCAAGTTGATCATGTTAATTTATCTAATACATTTCCTTTTGGTAACACTGTACATTAAATTATGTACTATACTCGAGTGAAAAATAATCAGATGCTACCGAAAAGAGAGAAAAAAAAAATCCAAAAGAGCTGTAAAGATCTTTAGAATATTTTCAATAAAGTGCTTTGGGAAAGTGGATGCACCTTGAGAGCATAATGATAAATTAAGTAAATTACACACACCAGCTTAAATATTGAATAGTTTCAATCATATGAGACAGCCAAAATAGAAGTAAAGAGCAAATTAAAAGATCATAGAAAACGGAGATAGATCTTTTGCAAATAGAAAGGGGACCAAGAGACGGAGGGAGGAGGGAGAAGAATTAAGATGTGTTATGTACTGTACAAACTTCCCATGAGGAATGTGATCATTATATACTGCAAACATGTCCCAATAAAAAATAAAAATTGAAAAACATAAAGAGCTTTAGGAGTTGAACAGAAGGAAAGATAATTTTCATTCAGAGTGATTGATTGAAGCAGTATTTAAGAGTGATTAACTTTCCTAGATGACAATGAGAACTGAGGGGAAGAAGGACATTTCAAGAAAAGAAATAACATGAGCAAAGACTTAGACATGATAATAAGTATATTTGAGAAAAATTAACAGCCCTATATCTTTGTAATGAGGTGGTGGGTACAGGATTTAGTGGTTCATCTGCCTGGAAAGGTCCATGTATATTATATAGAAGCCTTGAACACCAGCTAAAGGGCTCTGTAAAAGTATAGTATTTATTTTTTGTGCCACTATATTAGATGAACATATCATTTGACCTTTTGAAACAAATGACATCCATTTTTACATTCTTTGCTCAGAATCACAGAGATTGTAAATGATGGACTCAGACTAAATTTCCCTCTGGCTGTAGAGTTCACATGCTCCATGATGCCATGATGATGCGATTCAACCTGAATTCACAGGCCATAGGATCGATGACCACCAGACTGTATCAGTCCTATTGTGAAACATCTGACTCTGATCCATTTATAATGATCTACCCAATCTGTTGCAACAGCCTCCTCTTAGCCTACGGGTTTCTAATTGTTCCTCCGTTTACTCACCTCTTCCTTGCTGCCACAATTATCTTTCTGTAAGATACCATTTCAAGATTTTCAAGACAATGGTACTGCACATAGGGTAAATTGCTGATTGGCTCTCAAGACCCTTCACACCCAGGACCAACTTGTTTTTCCATTCTCACAATGCCTACTCCACCTACACTCCAGGCAAGCTACCTTCTTACCACTGAAAACATCACCCTGCCCACATAAGACAGAAAACAGAAGGGAGATGAGGTCCATTTTGTTCTCTGAACCTTTATTCTTCCTGCAAAGAGATGAAGTCTATTTTGTTCTCTGAATCTCTATTCTTCCTGCTTCTTCTGCCCAGAGAAATGCTTTTCTCTCTGATTATATTCAGTACTGCCCATTTGTCACCTCTGTGAAGCCTTCTGTAACTCTCCCCTGTAAGAATTCTTGCTTTCTCTCGTGTGACCCTTGTCTGAGTTTATAACTGCCAACCTGTCTGGGTCCCTATGAGGAATTGCTCTTAAATGCAGACACTATTTTCAAACTTGCATAATTAGTACCTAACCAGTGTCAGGCACAGGGTCAATATTTATAGAGAACAGATCAGATCCAGGGATATATTATCACAAAGTTGAGTGACATCCACCAGAGGGACAGCTATTGGGCCTTGTGGCATGATGAAGTCATAACAGATTATCATTTACTGGTAAGCCAGGATGACTGCAGCAGCCTTCTTCAAACCCTTGAAAATTGACTCTCTTTACTTTTTCTTTTTTATTCTGTTAGCTGTCGCACAATGATAAATTCTTACCTATGGGGGGGGCTTCATTTTTGTTTCAAACTCCACTCTAATTTCACTCCTTTAAATATCTTATTAGTTTTCATTTTTTAATTAATTATAAATTTCAATTCTTTTAATTTCATTTACATACAGACCAGACTGTGCTGGTCTCCTTGAATTTGTATGGAAGAATCACTGTAAAGTAAATAAAGCCCGGTTGCAATTTTGGGTATTCTGCACAGATTCCTCTCCTGTTGACAACAATAACAAAAAATCCAACCCACTGTTGTGTTGAACTCTTCAATATCTGGCAGCATATCTTCATTGCGTGTTACACCACTCTCTCAGAGCACCACATAGTTAGGGAGATGCAAGGATATGGGACAGGGAACGGTCAGGCACAGTTCACACCATATTCAGCCTTCTTCTTCTGCCGCTCAATCTAAAAAAGGCTGACTAAAGTCAGCCTTATTTGGGGAATTTCAGTCCAGCAGTCACCTCTGAAAGTGTCTGAGTCCCAAGTACTTGAAATCAGCAAATAAATAATCTCAGGCCAATAAAGATTGTCAACACTCAGTATTTACTCCAAATCCTTCCCCATGAGGGCACAGTATCTCTACACACAAAATACAACTAACAATCCTCAAGTGTCTAGGACAGATCTCCCTTGAAGGAAACACATTTCCCCCTAAAATAATATCATCCCCAGTTTCTTCTTCCCTAAAGCTAAAAGATAAGTCTGAGGGTTTCTAGGATTAACTGGTCATTTTCAATACTGGATTCTCCCCACTTATTCTGCTATTGGTTCTACATGATGAAGATTGTTCTCAATCTCCATAATTGAGATTTTCTATGTCTCTTCAAACTTCAAGTGCTTTCTATTTTCTTCTCCCACTTTCCATTCCCCAATTACTCACTTCCCTGATGATACATCAAAGACATGGATATGTATTACAGGTCTTCAACCAAAAACAACTGATGTCCTCATCACCAACACTGCTTTAAAATTGCAGAGTATAACCTTGGATTCACATTTCATAATAAAAAAGGCTGTAATTCAATTAGAAATTCACCCCAAATGGATCCCCCCACAGTTGAAGACCTTTCAAGAGTCCCCGGCAGCAGACGATGACCAGAGGTAGACTGTTTTCCCAAGAACAAGTGTATGACACCTTGAAGATCAGGTACTACCTAAGAAAAACAACATCCCCTATGAGTCCTACATTTCAACCCCTCTGTAGTTTCTCTTTGTATCTTTCTCACTATTCTTTCCATTTTTCAATCACCTGTATTGAAATTTCCTTGAGACATGTCTCTACCTTTATGGTCATCTACCATTTTGTTCTTATTTATCTACAGTCAGAACACCCAAAACCTTTGAACCCTTGAAAAGGAAGCTGACAGAGTGGTAGGAGATGTACTGAACTTACTGCTACAGAGAGGAATTTAAATACTTTAGGAAGGGAGTTGACTACATATATAGTGAAAACCCTTCTCTCATCATTAGGGAAAACATTAGCTTAAGAAACTTGCATTTGAGTTGTTTCAGATAAATGGCTCATGAAAACTAGAATCAAATATCTGGTTAACTGATAGATCTATAATTAGAGATAGGAAAAGGAACTGTCCTTTATGAAGTAGAGGAAA